AGGCTGAAGACTTGAGTTGGGCTTCAAGCATGATACAGAGACATCACAGTGGCGGAGTGCCGGTCAGCTCAGGGGTATCAGCCTGTGCTGGAGCCTTTTGGATGTGTGTGGCTTGCAGGTGGGCTGTGTCCCTGGGCTGCAGAAAGGGAGGGCTGAAGATGCTCGCTATGTTGTGTGCTGCTCGGTCTGGGCTGACAAAAGAATGTGTCTTATCTCCCCAGACAGAATTGGTGTCATGTCTAAGCCACCTGCATGCACAGCTAATTGTGTCTAATGCATCCCAAAATATGCAAATGTGATGCATCTCTGGGTCGCTTCATTACCTACAAGGACCTCAGATAAAGGGACATTGACTGTGTATCTTTGCTCTGTATAACGCAGGTTATGCTAACTCCCAGTGGTGAAACTCCTGTTGGAGTGTTAGTGACCTTCTCCATCCCACGAACAGCCTTGAACAGAGGTTCTCTTCTTCTAACGGTGTGACTCACCATCTCTCTGCATCCTGCTTGTGTGCTGTGAGGCATGTCTGTGTGACAATGGAAACAGTTTAAATGGAAGAGTCATGCTGGGGGTGTTGAAAATGTATTTGTAGCTATGTTTTATTGCTGCTTACAGTGGAGAAGGAGGAAGTATTTTGGTAGGACAAATTGGGAATTGCTGCTTGTGTTATTGATACACTGGAGATCCGTGTTCCACAAATAACCCTTTTTCCATTTATGTTAAGGAAAATTAGTGGTTTGAAACAACAGAAACACAGGTATTGAAAAAATGTTTGTGTAAATGGCTTAGAATTAATGCATTCTCATAGGCAAAATGAAGTGTAACTGTGTGTATGTTTCAGTAAGTAAAATTCCCTATCCAATAGTGTGTACACATCCAGGTGTATACTGTGTTGCACTAACTCTACAACTGTTTTGCACCAGTATTTCTCACTGCCAAGCTGAAGTTTACAAAAATGTAAACAAGAAAAAACCTTTACAAAAAGGTAAAGACAAAACAAATTGGCTAATGATGATCTTGGTCACAGCACCCTTCCTTCTGTGAGAAGCAGGCCACAGAAACATGCCAAATATCCTGAGTGGGTTTCAAGAAAGTGATTCACATTCCATTCTCTGTGCTTCTGTATGTGACACTGCAGTAGTAAATGATACCTTGAGCTTTGAGATGATTGACATTGTTAGACACACTCCAGTCAGTTTGATGTTTGCACCTTTCAATTTTGGGTTTGTTTTTTTATATCTCTGTGATAATGTGGGAGATTTTTTTTGAGCAGCTGAAATTTGCAGTTGGAAATAGCTTCAGTATTAAAAAGATTTTTGGGATAGAAGTGATGATGAATTTGTGCAGTGGCAACTTTTATGCATGCAAGTATAGAGAGCGATAGATTGCGGAGACCTTCTATGGCTTTGAGTTGAAAGCTTGAAAAAAAAAAAAAAACCAAACCTGCAGGTTTATGACCTTCTTGGAGAGAGTATTAGTCATGCCTATGCATATGTTGTTTTTAACTGATGTCTGCTTAGGTAAAGTACAATATGTTCAGTATGACTGCAATTTTAGAATGTTGTATACTTGTTAATATGTCTCATCTTCCTGCTTATTGCAGGATTTGGGCATGTTCTTCCCTTTGTTGCTAATATCTGTTAGCACATGTTAATGGGCATTCACCAATTCTGATTAATGTTCTATCTGTGTTAATTCATCAACTTGAAAATTATAGCTTGGTACTAGATGGATACCCAAAAGAGCATCAGGCTATAGCTGACTCTAATGGGAGCTTGATGATAAGATTACGGAGCATGGGGGTGCTGTCTTAGTAGCTATTTTCTACAACCAATTGTCATAACAATGTAACCAGTGCAGAAAAAATTGTTAACGCTGTTGTGTATACGTAGGAGGATTCACTCTGCAAGAAGGATTGTTCTGTATATGCTTTGTCTTTAACTCTCTGAAGTAGCAATCTCGGAATTGTCCTGTATATGCCTTTTCTTTAACTCTTTTTTTCCTTTTAAAGTAGCAGTCTTGGGTTAAATCTAAACAGAGCTTAAACATCTATTTATTTTTTTTATTGTTATTTGCTTAGTTCTGCTAATAAAGGTAGAGTAGCTATACTTCTGTACTCTGGTTGCAGGATTTTCTCTTTGAAATTGGTTTCATTCTCTCATGCAGCGTATTGTTCTGGCCTGTTTTTTTAAAATCACAAATTACATCTTTTGCAGTAACATGAAAAAGAAAAATACTTTTGTGGCTACAAGAGTCAGTGTAAGTTTATTTGTGCAAACACTAGACTGAGTCTGACCTGTCAGTTTACGTTTAACTGCAGTCGCCATTTAGCTCTTGGTTGTGATTGTGTTAGTTGTCAGTAATTGTGTTTGCTGTCTCGGCTGGAGGCTGTGATGAAGAGTGCTTGGAACTGGGGCATTACACAGATAATATCATGACGAAACAGCTGCAGCTTAATCGTAATGAAATATGCGTGGGCTTTAAGGGCTGCATATTCTGGAAATTTTTATAACACTTAATTCCCATGTTTAACCTTTTTAGGAAAAAAAAAATCTCCCTGCAATTAGAAAGAAATAGATGTAAGATTATAGTAGTAAGTAGTATAAAATAAATCTCATAACCTCCTTGCTTCAGGAAGGGAACATTTTGTTTGTCTTTGCCCCAGGTGAAACTGCTGGCAGTCTTCTAATTTTTCTGATCTCTTAAACGTCTAGACCTGGATGTCTGACGTCGCACCCCTTGCAGCTGAGGAGCCCAGGGGGGTGTATCTGTGCCATCAGTCAGTGCGAGCACAGTGGCATCCCGCACTGCCTCGCTCAGAGGTTAGGCACTTTGGGCGAAGTCTTCTGTGCTCAGAAATCGGAGGGACTTTTCTGTTTACTCTGGTATTGAAATCTCCCTCTTCATGCTCGGAAAACAGAGATCCTGAGGTAAAGCTGAGTCTACGGCATATGGTATTTTGAGACATCCTCGCAAATTGTTAGACTGATCATTTGCTGTCAAAAATAATGGGTTTTTTTTTGATCTAGGCTGAGCAATGCACTGATAAATTATGCAAAATTAACACTTACAAGATATTTTTAAAAAAAATTATTTGGTATTGCATTGCCCAGACCTCTAATTGCATTAAATTGACAGGCAAATCTGATTACTAAGGCAACCTGCTTGAATTAAAAAATAAAAAGCGAATGGCAGAAAAGAACAACAAAAACGTATGCTATTGGGAAGAATCAAGTGCAGACAGAGAAGGTAAAATACCAACTGTGGAAGCAGTTATCACAGTTGCAGGCAATTGAAGTAATAAGGAATGTGCTTTAAGGATGGCCTTGAATTTCTAATTATTGAGGAAATGGGATCTGGTGGGTCTGTTTCCTAATACTCTGATTCTGTGAAACAAATCCAGATGAGGTATTCCTAGCAGTTCCTCTCTGCATGTACAGCTGTCTTCTTGAGTTTGCTTCACGTGGATAAAAAGTAACTCTGTGGAAACACCTTCCTTATGTTGAGGTGAGTTAAAAGTATCTCGAGATGATTTTAAACGAAATGCCACGGATGATGGGTGGAGCTTCCTATGGAGGAGTTGGTTCTCTCTTGCTCTTTCGCGGTGTGATGCTTCGTTTGTGTCTGTGCCCAGGCAAACCGGGACGCGGTGATCAGCCGAGCCCCAGACCAGCGGGATGACCGAGCTGTCAGCCTCCGGGATGCTTCTGCAGTCTACGACCTCCTCAGTATCACGCTGGGCAGGAGAGGGCAGTATGTCATGCTTTCCGAGGTACCTCCTCCTGCCTTCTGCCCCAATGTTCACTCCAAACCTGCCAGCAAAGCCCCTCTTTGCAGTAACTTCTTGGGGAAGGTGAAAATGAAGCACAGTAGTTGGCAATTAGTAGAAACAGGCCTATGGCAGCACAGGCCAGAAACTGTACACAGAACTGTTTGAGGCACTTGAACGAGGTGGCTGTCATTTGAAGTAGTGGTGTATGCTAGCAAGCCCCATTAACTGAGAAGAGAAAAATGATGTCAAAAAAAAAAAATTTCACCTGGGCCACAACAGATTGTTTCCCCTGATTCTATTACTGAGACAAGCAGCAGTCTTGACAAAAGATGTTAAAAAAAAAAAAAAAAATCTGATGTTTCTTCCAATGTTTATTTCTTAGTGCTTGGAGAGAGCCATGAAGTTTGCGTTTGATGAATTTCACCTCTGGTACCAGCTTGCCCTGTCCATGGTGGCTTGTGGAAAGGTAAGGTTCAAGCCAAAGGACTTGGAAAGAGCATGTTTTCCTCTGACAGAGTGTATCTAGCTTACTAGTCTGAATGTACACAGTCAAGTATTTTTGTGGGGGTAGGTGCCATTGGACAGCTACATAGGACAGTGCTCTCCTTTTAGACTCTGATTGCACTTTGTGATCAGGTATGTGCATTTGGTATTGGGTACTGTTCTTTCCATGTAGTGTTTGTGTCTTGTTATCCAGGATTAAATAGATTTTGTGCATAGCTGTGGATTGAAAAGTGTTTTACAGATGGCAGTTTTCTGCAGGTTCAACGTAGATGTGCTTAGCATAAGAAAGATACTGATATCTAAAACTGTTATCAGCTCACTCCATGTCTTTGGGCAGTTGACAACCTCTCTTTAAGCTTGTGATTTCTTCATCTGATCAAGGAAATGTTAATGCTTTTTCACAGAGAGCTTGCAAGGATTAATATTTTTGAAGTGCTTGGTGCAAAAGATACTGCAGGAAAAGAAATGAGGTGTGAATGTTTGCATGGACACATGTTTTAGTATAAAGTTTTTTAGATTGTATACAATTTGTCAAAGTTACCAGTTAACCAGAGATGACTGAAGTCTGGTTGCAAAAGGTAGGCAGAGGCAGCACGAGCCTTTCTTCAGTAGTCTAAAGAGTAGACTTCCTGCAGGAAATGAGGATGATACAAAGCTTATCCTGTTGATTCTGGGGGTCCCCACTTACACATTTAGGAGGTGTGAGCAAATTAACGTTGTGCGGTAGTAGGCCACTTAACATGGTCCTGTATTCCATGCCCATGGAGAGTAGGGAAATCCATGTGGAACTGGACAGAGACCAGCAAGTAGCAGTCGTCTGCTAAATGATAACTCACTACTGGTCTTTTATGGCTATAAGCTAAATTGGAAACAGTGACTTTGGAGTGGAAGTTGGAGATGAATAGAGTGGTATGCTTTTACAAAGAAGTTGTCATCTTGTGATGTGTAAGTGGCAGTAAAGCTTGGAAGATGTCTGAAGGGACTCCTTCACTTCTGTGAGCATAGGCAAAGCCTTGTCTTGGAAGACTCTGCTGTTATGCATTATACTTCAAGAAAATGGCAGAACAACAAGAGGAAGTCTAATAAAGAGCATTAAGGATGGCTAAGGGTATAGTAAGTAGGACGGTGGAAGGAACGAAAGAATTGACTTTTTTTACCTTAAAGGAAAGACAATAGTCCAAGAGCTCTTAGAAGGGGGTAATCTTGTCTGATGAGTAGGACAAGACATCATGGTTTCCAGCTGCAGCAACATGAGTTCTTTTTTCTTATTAAGGGGCAAAAAAATAAGGATAGTGGTACGCTGGAAAAAGATTGCCTCTGGAGGTTATGTGGAGCCTGCATCACTGGGGATCTGTGGACTATCCTAGGGAAATATCAGTCAGCAGTGACACCACTGTGATGCACCAGGGATGTACTTGGTGGGACCTTGCAAGTTCTGACTCTGTTTTGGGACTCCACAGTTAGCTCATAAATTGGCTAAATCTGTTATAATCAAAAGGAGACATCAAAACTTTGACAAAGTGTATTAGATCAGTCGGGAGCTGAAGGGAGATGTTTAGTGAGAAAGGAGCTCAGAGATTCCTATAGGATTTCAGTACAAGCATTTCAAAAACAATTCCAAGTATGAAAATGATGGCTAGACGCAATCATGTATAGGGAAACCGGAAGCTACTGGTCAACAATGAGCTTGGTGCCATGGCGCTAATATCTTGCACTGGCCTATGTCAGATATGGGGGTTTACAAGTCAGGTCCAACTCCCCTTGGCATTCAGCTGGAGTTAGCATGTTGCTGCCCTCTGTGCCTTTGCAAATCCTCCAGATACCTGATCTCTTGATACTGAGGATAACAATGACTAGATGGGCTATGAGGAAAGGCACAGTATCTTCCCATAAACACTCACAGGACTTCTCTGGGAGCTTTATTGGCTTTACAGATTATGTAACCTGTTTCAGTAATCTGCCAGAGAGCAAATCTAGACTTTTATCTGCTGATGGTTGGGAGAGTGAGTGTATCCAGAGAGTAATTGTTGTTCCATCTTAGGTTATTATGGAGGAGAGGAATGGGACCTGATCTTTAGCTTCTGATAATTTGCGTGAGAACTCTGTCCTTCTCCTTATGTTTGCATACCTCTTCAGCTTCCCTAGAAGTTACTGAATATTTGGTAGCTAAGAGAAAAAAACAAGAGCAACACAAGTATCTGTGTCTCTATAACTGTCCTATCTTTTCAGATTTTTCAAGTATGTCATGTCTTTTTTTGCCTGTACTTCAAATATTTACAAGGTAAAATGCCCTGATCTTGCCTGTTGATGTAAAAGCTCTAAATGTTCTGAGCCCTATATGGGGCAGAGGGAATTCCCTTACCCAACAATCTCATTTGTGCATTATTTCACTTCTAATCCCAGAGTATTCCCTGAGGATTCCTGTCATATACTCTGCAATGCATCATCTTGCTAATGGGAGATGTGGCATACATTTTTACACTGCTTCACAGCTTGATAGCAGGACAGAGTTCATTTAAAAGTAAGTGCTCCAGTGTAGCAGAAAGAACTGATGAGAAAACAGCGTGGTCTGTCTAGACTGCAGAATGCAGAGTACACTTGAGCTTTTATAGGTAGAAGATCTGTTTTCACCTGTCGCAGTCAGCCAATTCCTGATCTCATTTCTTGGTAATGAAATCTCATATCCTGCAGTGTTACTTGTTCTGCAGTACAGCAAATCATGCTCATAAATCCTGGGTATGACAGGAACAGTTTTATCAACCTGTAAGTACAGGCAACTTTAGTCTCTCTTTTTTTAAAACACATTTTTTACAATTTGCAAACTCTAACCTTCTCAAAGGTGCTGTAAAATCCTATCTTGACCTCTGTTCTACACTGCATTTGACTAGTATTACTTTTATTTTGTATATTCATCATCTTTGATTTAAGTCAATCAAGTTGGACTTCGAACTATTTTCTTCCTCTACCAGCCAAAAAATTGCCAAATGGTGACTTATTTTTCACAAGTGATCAGTTTGAATGTCAAGCCAGCCACCTCGGCTCATTACTGTTATGTGTGTTTGAGTTTACACATTATTTTAAAAAGCATGTGTCTTAACAAAAATAGACATATCACTTCAGTAAATTCTTACAGAGCATGCAAGGCCTTAGGGCTTCATAAAAACAGTGAATGAAAAATCTCAGAGAAGCATAACCTTCCTGTCTGTCTTCTATCCACTTAAGGGTGGAAATAATGGAGTGACAGCAACTTCACTTTCCTGTGTTGCTCAACAACTTGCATGATGAATAAGATGATTTGGTCTGGTTGGTTTTTAACCCATTCTTGGGGATGCGTGTATACTGAGCTGTACATTCTCTGAACAAAAGGAGCATGTTTATTTAAATGATTAAAATCTACCATGAAATTCAGAAGTCTCTTATAGGCAACTATAGATGTAATGCTGGGAAAGCCTGGACAATGGCAAAGGCATGCCTGCTCTAGAAAGGAAATAACAAGTGATGTCCTGTGTCACCAAGTGCAGTTCTGGATAGGCAAGAGAAGTTTAAATCTGTCTTATGCACCCCTGTTCTTCTGAACTGCTGCTGGAAAACTGAATGCTGAACTCTTCACAACTGCTTCAAGTTGCTTCTGCTGGTAATAACCTTCACAATGTGGTAATATGACAGCAAGAGGCTGAGCAGGCATAGCAGATCCCTGGCTCTGCTGCCATGCATAGACAGGCTGGAGTCTGAGTGGCGAGTGGTATGATAGCCGGATGCCATCTGGCAGAGTCCTCAGGCAATGAGATGAGCCACTGTCCTGCTGCCAGTGTAAAACGAGTGCAGTAGGTTGCATCTGCTTGTCTCAAGACTTTAAAATAAAGTGACCTGTATTCAGCAGAATGGGGGAAGGAAGGACCGAACTCTTATTTACAGAGTAGAGAAGACTTTAGTCTTCACAGTAGTGAAGAGTGAGACAGCTGTTTGGGGCAGACTTGTTCTCTGCTGCTGCTTTTCAGCTAAACAGCTTCTACTGGAAGTTGTGGAGGTTACCAGCACACAGCACCCCTGCAGACGACGGTGGTTGTACTGATGTATCTGAAGTTGGAAGCAAAATTGTCATAGTGTCTAGATGATGTATTACAAGCACAAGGGATGTGATATAGGGTCCCTATGCACTTGCAAGCATTTCTCTGGCCTTGGAACAGTTGGATCAATTACGTGTTCCCTTGTTCAGATTTCTGTCCTCTTACACACTTAAGAGCCTCGTATGGGACTCGGCCTTCATGTCCCAGAGTGTCAGTGAAGCTCTCTGGGAGTAGAATCAGAAGGGTGTTGTGGGATTGGGCTCTGGCTTAAATTGACAGTACTTCAGAAAGTCTTCTAGATGTGCATCGTGTCTTTCCTATCTGTCATACTGCTTAAGGGAAAGGTAAACTGATTAAATATGTGCCTTGAACAATGTGAGGCAACACTGATGCCTCTCTTCTGCCTACCAACCAAGGAGACAAGATTCGTCTTTACTGACGATAATGTACCATTTTCCTGAGGGTAACGAGGGAGGATTCTTCAAGGATTGCTGTGAAATTATTCTGTGAACGCTGAGTCGTCTTAGTCTAAAAGTGATGGTACTCTAATTGAGCCATTCAACTCACAGGAATCTTACACTGATCCAGTGAATCTTACATGTCCAGTGGATGTTTATTATTAGTAGTAATATTTGCATAAAACCATTTTCTTGCTCATATTTAGCATTGCTGCCCCGCATCACAGCTTGGTTAGTGAATTAAAAGCTTTAGGATAAGTGTTTCTTGAGAGGAGGGGTGGGGAGTGATACAGTCTCAGGCCAGGGAAGTCTGGAGCATCTGCTAGGAGAGGATAATCTGCTTTTACCCCTCACCTCTTCTCCTCGTTTAGGGAATGAAGTGCAGGAAAGTGTGCGCAAAGGAAAAGCTCAGGAGCAATTGAAGGGGCTGTGTAGAA